AGATTACCACACCCCCTTTCTTCCCAGGGGCGGGAGATACAAAATGAGATCCCAAGCGAGGATTATTTAAATATTTTTGATCTTTAGCTGTAATATGAGTTTCTTGCAAGCAAATAATATCATTGTTATGTTGTTTCAAATAGTGGTAAATTTTTTTTCTCTTTTGAGGAATGTTTAATCCATTAACATTCCAGGACAGGAGCTTTGCCATCTCCCTTGGCCTTCAGCCTGGAGAAGATCCGCTCAAATTCTGCTGCTGATGAATATGTAGCAGAGCTTTTGGGTCTTGCTCCTCCCACCGGCACTGAAGCAATTTGCTGAGTAGATTCTTCAATTTCTTTTTCTTTTTCTTTTTTCTGTTGTTCTTTTTCTTTACGTTTATGTGCTGCACGGGTCATTCTCTGTTCTTTAACCTCTGGTTGAGACATCCATACCACCTGTCCAGCAGTCATCATCCCTGTACCTTCAGATTTCTGTTCCATCTCTTTGTCACTCAAGACTTTATGCATCATGGGCAAAGGAGAGCCTGCTCCCAGGACCGTTTTATAAAATTCCTTAGCTTTAGCAACTGTATTAAGTCTATAACGTGTCCCCGCATGGCTCAAAACAATGCCCATCGGAATCTCCCATCTAAATGGCATTTGTCTTGCTTTAAGTTCATTTACTAAAAAAGCAAAATCTTTTCTGCTTCTTAAAATTTTAGGTGGAATTTCCTTTAAAATAATAATATCTTGGGCAGCAATCTGAAATCTTTTATTATAAAAAGTTTGTAGAATCTGATTTCGCAAAGACTTCTTAGCAAAATATATCACCACATCTCTAGGCAAATTCCTCTGTTTTGCAATCCAAGAATTAACTCTATAAATTCTTTCCACATCCCCACGTAACTCTTCTTTATCAATATTCAAAATAACAGCCAAGTCATTAATCACCATTTCCATCAAATCTTGAGTTTTATCTTCTTTCAGACCCCTTATTCTCAAAGCATATTCCATCTGTCTATACTGGAACATAAGAATATCATCTTGTGAAGTCTCCACTTTTTTCTCCATATCTTGAAATTTATAATCCAAAAGTTCAACTGTTTCTTCAATTTCCTCTACTCTGGAGTCCAGCTTCACAACCACTGAGGCCATTCCAGATAGAGCTAGAAGTATATCATCCCTCAAAATAGCATTATTCTGTTCTAAAAGCTCCTTCATCTCTTTCTTCATTTCCTCCTTAGTTTCAGATTTATTCTGGTCCAAAAGTTGTTTCATTTCCTCCCTAAACTGTGAGACAGCACTTACCATTATTTCTTTAATGTCTTGTGCTGATGTACCAGATGGGGGAGGTGAAGGTGGAGTGGATTTAGGTTGCTGCACTGAGGGTATTATTTTAAGTTGTTGTTGCACAGTAGAAGTAGCAGGAGAAGAAGTTACTTTAGAAGCTGCAGTAGCTGGTTGTCGTTTTGAAGCCATTTTAATTTATCTTCCTTTCTTCTTAAAAATACCGATAAAAATAAGTAATCCAAAAAAAAATTAAAAATAAGATAAAATAGAATAAAATAAGATCAATCTAAAAGTCCCCAAGAATAAAAAAGTAAAAAAAGTAAAAAAAAGCAGTATTAAACAACAATTCAGCCGATCCGTCTTTTAAAGGAAAAAAAAACTTTCAAAACGCCATTTTACTTTCACTCTCACTTTTCCGCCCGAAAAAAAAGAGAAAGCTTAAAAAAATAAAAAAAAATCAGCATATACTAAATAAACTAAATAAACTAAAAAAAAATAAAATGAAGCTAAACTATAAATAAAATCCTTTAAACAGTTCTGTCCGGTTTAAGATTACTCACGGTTTCTTTAAGTACGGAGATGGTAGCGGCGTCTCGCTTTGTTTCCGAAGAAACAAAGACAGCTGAGAGGCGGAGAAGGCAATGAACTCCGAGGGAACCCTCTTTCTACCCCCCTAAAAATAAAAATCCAGGGAGAGTTAAGAGGTTCTACCTCTATTCATGCGATCTCTGCCCCTTCCCTTCGCCCGGGAAGGGGATTGCGAGCCGCGGGCCAGCTGGTAAACGCTGTGCTCCGCGGATCTGACACCTTCTCAGGAGGACGGCTACAAAGTAGCCGCCATCTCCACCGCTTTAACCACCGGAAGTCCTATACAAGATGTTTTATAGATGGCACCTTCCCCCTACAAGGCTAGCAAAAATAGATTAAAAAACCGCACCGACATGCTGGAAATGTAGAAAGCTTCCAGGGACTTACTATCACATATGGTGGGAATGTTCAAAAGCGCAAAATTTTGGGCATCAGATTAAAAATTGGCTGGAAGAAATACTATTACAAAAACTTGATTTAAAACCAGAAACCTTCTTATTAGGGATTATTAATGATAAACTCAGCAAAGCATCTCTCTACTTACTATTGCATATTTTAACCGCAGCAAGATTGGCATACGCCCAAAAATGGAAAAGAAAGGAAACCCCACTGAAGAAGAAATAATAAATAAAATCTTAACCTGTGCCGAAATGGACAGGTTAACTCTAGAGATTAAAAATAAAATTGAAACGGAGTATTATGAAATTTGGAAAAATTTGTACGATTGGTTAGAGATAAGGAGGATCGCTGAGATTATCGAATGATTAGTTGATATCGTAAGGATTTCTTATTAACACCTATATTAGGACACAACTGAAAGATATGTAAATACAATGTTTATGACTGAAAGATGTTTTACTAAAAAATTTACAGATATTATATGTACAGTTTGTTATACTCTGTCCTGTTAGAGAATGTATTTTAAATTTCTGTTTTTCTTTCTGTAACATAAGGTAATACTAATAGCAATGTTGTTGCCAGGGAAGCTGAATCATGTCCACTTCTGTTTTTAAATGTACATTTAATAAAATTTGTATATATATAAAAATAACTATTTCCTCCTAATAATTCATGTGATGATGGATGACAATATCAGAATAGACCTTGAACAGATGTCCCAAAAGGCACTTTTTCAACCTTCAGATCGAGGTTTCTTGGATGAGAAGCAAAATGTCTTCAAAGGAAAACAAGAAAATCCAGTTGTCTCTTGAAAAAGCACCTTTGGGACAACCATGGCCTGGATGACTGAGAATCTCCATAGGCACCTTGAACAGATCTTTACAAATTATGAGGCCTGGACAGGAAGGTACTTGTAATTGAGATCCCTTACTGGATTTATATTCTTCAGTCATATCTACATGAAGAAACTGTGGCAAAAAGTGCCCTACATCTCACAAAGCCTGGGAAGGATGTATCTGGAGAAATGTTAGCTAGAGAATGATAGGTGTCAAAGAATTGAACATAATGCCAAAAACTGGCTTGAACAATACAAGAGATAAGCATGAAAGCAAAAGAATGACTTAGAGATTGGTAGAAAACTACAATGGAAAGCTAGTAGAGTTAGCACTTACGGTGTAAGGAATTATTACATAAATGCCAAGAAGAAGAAACTGAAGAAGATTGAAGAAGTAAAAGTAATTGGAATCTTGGGAGAAATGGATCATGTTATCCTTGAGTTCATGTTCAAGAGGAGGAAGAATAGAGAGAAGTCAAACCTGTATACTAACTTTCAGAGAAGCAGATTTCAATGAACTCAGGTGGAAGGTAAATCAAATCCAGGAGATTGCAATTTTGAAGGAGAAATATGTCTAGGAAGGATGGAAAATTCTGCAAAATGTGTTACTGAAATTGCAACAGCAAACAATTTATATTACAAAGAAAAATGAGGTCATCTACAGGTACCAATGTAGATACAGACATGCATTCTGAAATTCTGAAAAGTGAAAGGGACATGTATAGGAAATAAAAGAAGAAACGTATAACAAAAGGGGGATAGAAGCCAGTCACCAGAACATCACAGAATGAACTGCAAATTAATGTTGTAGAATTGAAACTTGCAATATATATAACAACCACCATCTCAACAAACCATCTTCTTTGGAGGGGGTTTGTTAGGTGGCTGTATTTTGGCTTTCAAATGTTGCTTGTAAATGCCAGGTCAGTCTGTAATAAGGCTTCCCTCATTTGTGATTTATTTGTTGATGAGAGGGCTGACCTGGCCTGCATTACTGAGACCTAGGTGGGGCCTTTTGGAAGTATCATCATATGGATTTCAGATGTGGCATCAGTTCAGACTCCGGAGCAGGAGTGGAAATTGGCGAATGTCATGTAGGAAATTCCTGTAGTCTCATGCATGGTGCAACACAGTATCATATATGAGATATGTTTGTTAGGTTGGGCTCTAGGGATCAGTTGGGATTGCTGCTATTGTAACTAGCTTCTCTGCTGTAAAGCAATTTCCCAGTCTAAGTTCATTGAAATCATTCTGGATTGGGAGCAGAGTTCTCCAGACTTATCATTTTAGGAAAATTCAATTTACCTCCTTTCGGAGCATGGTCACCATGACAACCATAGTCCTAATCCAAGTCATCCAGAGTCTGACATGGGACAGTGGTTGCACAACACCTGCTACATCTGTGTCTTTTTCTTGGGTTATACAGTAATTACACAATCCCACAAAATAGACACTTGAGTTAAGGAAATGCCAACTGGTGCTGCAAAAAAATTTGTCATGTCCTATTAATACACCTTAACTTTCACATATTTTTCCATAGGATTGTTGAACTACTATGGAAGTTATATAACGTGATGCTTGTGTGATTAATATTTTATTCTCCTTGTTATATTTTTTGCCGGTAAAAATCAAAACAAATATGAAATAGAAAAGTATTTGAAATTAGAACCTATGAAAATATTATTTCAATATTATTCCATGTAAACCTTCAATCAGTTCCATCAATACTGATGGTAAATTCTATTTCAAGTGAAAGAGATTTGGGAGACAGAAAAGGCAGTGTTTGCAATAAAATAATAAAGAAACTCAAGTTTATAAAAAATGACTCTGTAGGAATGATGTTACCTTATGGTTTATGTGACAAATGTGACAAATTCAACATAATGAAGTTCTATTAAAATGCTTACAATCAGGAGGCATTTTTTCCATTAATAACTTATAATATTCTTTTAGCAATTCCATATTTTCCTGGTTAAGGCTTTCTTGCAAGGAGGTATCTCCAAACCTAAAGAATCACAAAACGTACATGGAAAAAATAAGAACAAAACTAGCATAAATGCAGTATTGAACATGTAAATATGATCCATTCAGAGAAACTGAATGATTTCTGATTTACTAATATGGGTTAATTATTTATAGTATTCTAAAGAAATGGTCTGGAGCAGAGGTCCCCAATCTTTTGGGCACTAGGGACCAGTTCCGTGGAGACAGGTTTTTCCGTGGACGAGAAGGTGCATGGTTTTGTATGCTGCCTGCATCTCACGGATGGGCTTTACTTGTTTGTGCAGACCGGTTGCTGGCATGCTATGGCCCAGTACTAGTCCATGGACCGAGGGTTGGGGATCCCTGGTCTGGAGTATGTATGTAGCACATACATGCAATTCCTTAAACTAGTCATGATATAAAATTGCTGTCACAATTTAAATATCTTGAGAAAATAAAAAGGTTCTATAACATGGGTTATGGAAATAATCTGACATCAGTAAGTATAATTTTGATTTTACTTTATCTGTTGAGATGGCATAGCTGCCCTTTATGGTATTTACTGAATAATAGACTTGAAACTGGAGGTATCACAACAAAAACAAACAGTGCCTTTGGTTGAAAAATTGGTTGAGAAGTGCTGAAAAGTCTTCACTAAAGCAAAGGTTATGTCTGTGGAAATATTGATGAAAATAAAGCTCCAATTTGCAGTACTTCTGCCAGTTTCATCCAATGGTAGGCTAATCTCTAGGCATTACAAATATTATCTATATTGTTTTATAGAGGGTTTTTTGGTCAAGATTCTATCAAATGAAGCCACACTGAAAAAGCCCTTTATCTCCTCTTGATTGCTGCTGACTTGAAGTACATGTGATATCAGACTGTCTTTCTCAAACCAAGGGAGAATTAGTCTGACTATATCATTATTTTTTCCTGCCCAATAGCAATAACAAATATTCTATGAGTGACTAAACAAGAGAATAAATCAGACAGTTATAGTTGTTAAGCACATTACTGAGTTTAATTTAAAATAATTTCATTATTTTATATGATGGCACATCTCATGCATTACAGATATAGAAATATATTCTCTTGAAGTACCTAGGATTTTTTTCAGTCAATAAGGATCTAATTGAAAATGAAGGCTTCCCTGATATTATTTATTTATTGCAAAATTCTGTCTATTCCTAGCCATCTTCTTTTGAATTAAGAGTGAAAGTGAGGTGGGTCAGCATGTAGTTCTAGGTGCTATTCTAAGTAATTTTCTATGGAAGCATCAAATGATGGAGAAATCATTCAATTTATATCAGGTGAAGCCCAGTGCTGACATGGATGAGGAAGATCTTTAAATTAAAGATCTTTAAATTCTTTGGCAGAGCACAGAGTAGAGTCAGAGGATTTGACCATATCCTATAAAAGCCATTTTATGCATATAAAAGTATTCTTTGTTTTGTTTTGTTTTATCCTAATGCATTGCCTCAAAAATGCACTCTAATCCTAACTTTATTCAGCTTTATTCTGTATTGAAAATCTTAATTTCACTATTACTATGTAGGATTGACAATTCTGACATTTATTTTCACATAAGATAATTTTTTTCTTAGCATATTACAACTATAACTAGGTTATTCTATTATTTTCTATTATGCACCTTGATTCTCTAAGAGCATTTAAAATATTGAATTAAGCTGAACATGAACAAATACTAATTTCAGAAGTATTAAAATTTTCATAATATGTGCACTTAATAAATGTCTAAATAGCTAAAAATCATTTTAATTGGATCAATCTAATCCATCATAGGTCTATTATATAGACATTATTAATGGTTATTTCTTCAAATGTTCACTATTGTCGATATAATAATAGAACATACATTATGTGCAATGTATGAATCATCTTTTTGGCTCTGTCCTTCTCTGGAATAGCTTCTCATTGGAAATTTGGATGACTAAATCCCTGTGGATCTTTAAAAAATTGCTAAGCCTTGGCTTTGTTACCAAGTTTTGGGGGAAAGGCTGTTACAATTCTCCCTCTGATGAATAAGTCTTGATTTTTTTAAAAAGAATTGTTTGATTTCTGGTGGAATTATGTGTATCTTAACAGTTTATAGTACTTTTGCTTTAAATTTTTGATTATAAAATATTTGTTTTAATTATAATCTTGGAACGGCAAGTTGAAGAGGTTAAGTGGATTGGCCTACAAGCTCTCTATATTTAACTGAAGATATCAACATTTATTTGGAACTAAAAATTGGAAAATCTGTTCAGATACACTGTAGCTGACTAACCAGTTTCTGAGACACAAAGAGGAACTGTTAGGCCCAGAACTGCTGTTCAGAGAGAATATTAAGATGGTTTATGTTATGTCCCGAGCCTTGCAAACGGCTCGGGCGTTTGCAGGCAGTCCCGGGCAGGTGCAAAGCTGCCCGGGACCAGACAGGCTGTCGCCAGCGCCGTGCGCATGCGCGGGTGCTGGCGCGGGAAAAGTATCGCATTTACCCGGGAAATGTCTATATAAGAAGTTGGGAGGTTTTGGGAGCTGCTGAAGCCATCTACTTGTAAGCTGAACGCAGAATAAAGAAAACTGAGAACTTCAACTGCTTCTCGTATCTGCTTCCCGCCACGGACTCAACACTGGCGACGAGGATGGGATTGCCTTACACCGCCTGGAAAGGAAGAAGTGTAAGCTTACCCAAGTGAGTCCTGAGCGGCGGAACGGCGTCGACTCGGCAGCTACCCGCCAATCCAGTGCGCATTCGGGGGTAGGCTGGCTGATAGACCCGTCTCCTGAAGATGGCAAAAATCGGAAGGCTTTCGGAATTCGACATCTCACATCCAGAGCGGTGGGAGTCATACGTAGCCAGGGTGGAGAACTACTTCAAGGCAAACCAAGTGAAGGAAGAGAGCTTGAAGGCTGCCACCCTGCTTTGTGTTTGCGGCCAAGACGCCTTCGACATCGCAGAAAACCTTGCAGCACCTGTTCCAGTAGAGTCTGTAAGCTACGCAGATCTGAAGAAGCTACTGAAGGAGCACTTCCACCCCAAGATGTCCGTCATCGCATGGCGCCACACCTTCGAGCAGAGGGATCAACGGCCCGGTGAGTCGGCCAAAGAATTCATCGCCGCATTACGGAAGGCCGCCAAGCACTGCGAGTTCAAAGACCTCGAAGAACGACTGAGGGACCGATTCGTGTGCGGGTTAAGGCATCGAGATCTACAACAGAGACTTTTCGCTAAAGAAGAATTGTCCTACCAAGATGCCTTAAGGGAAGTCACCGCAGAAGAAGCAGCAGGCGGCGATGTCAAGAACATGCGGCCGATCAGAAACAGTCCAGAGTTTGCATCCGTGCACCAGGAAGACGTCCAAAGAAACTCCGAGGAGGATCCGGACGAGGAAGTCGACCGTCTCCACCCCACGAAGGAAGAAAAACAGAAGGGAAGCTCTTCAGCTCCGCTCAAGTGCATCGGCTGTGGAGGTCGCCACAGGAGAACCGACTGCAAGTTCCGCTCCGCTACCTGCCGGGCATGCGGCAAACAAGGACACATTGCAGCTGTGTGTCTGGGCCGACGAAAGGTACAACCTCAGGAAGAACTGCGCCTGAAAGGTACAGATTCCCCAGCCAGAATAGGGTAGGGTTTTGCGCTTCGCGAAGAAGCATCCTTAGGACAGGCACACACAAGCCCATTAAGAAAAAGCTGTCACTCAAGGTGAAGCTACAAGGGTTCCATTATCTATGGAACTAGACACAGGGTCTGCCTTTTCAATTATCTCCTTGCATACATTTAGGAAGATTTGTTCCGGTAGTGGAACTCAGGCCAAGTTAAGGCCTTCTGACATTGTGTTAACAGATTTTCAAAATTCAAGAGTGTGTGTTAAGGGGGAGGCCACCCTTAACGTGCAATACAAGAGTTTTGAAGGTCCACTAGACTTATTAGTAGTAGGGGGTGAACGAACGAGTCTCATAGGACTCGATTGGTTTGAGGCCCTGGGGATACACGTCACAGGACTCAACAGTTTACAAACACTCGACCTACAGGAAGTCTGCAAAGAATTTGCAGATGTTTTCAGCCCCCAGCTGGGCACATTCAAAGGACCCCTGTGTCCTTAAAGCTAGACCCCACTGTCACTCCCATTAGAATTAAAGCAAGAAGGGTCCCTTTTGCTTTAAAGAGTAAAATTGACACTGAGTTAGACAAACTGATCCAACAGGGAATCCTAGAACCTGTTGATTCCAGCCCTTGGGAGACCCCCATTGTCACGCCTCTAAAGGCAACTGGGGACATTCGCATTTGTGCTGACTACAAATGCACTCTTAATAAGGCATTGCAGCAACATGCCTATCCTGTTCCTGTGGTCAGTCATATTCTGGCCTCCCTCAAGGGGGGGCGCGTTTTTGCAAAGCTTGACCTAGCTCAAGCGTATCAACAGCTGCCTGTTGATGATGATGCTGCTATAGCTCAGACCATTGTGACCCACAGGGGAGCCTTTAAGGTAAAAAGGCTGCAGTTTGGAGTGAATGTCGCTCCTGGGATTTTCCAAAGCGTAATGGAAAACACACTGCGGGGCATACCGGGGGTTTGCCCCTACTTTGATGATGTCTTAATTGCAGGAGACTCCACACACATTCTAGCTGAAAGGCTAAGAGCTGTTCTGTTAAGATTCAGGAAATCAGGCCTCAAGCTCAAAAAAGACAAATGCATGATTGGGGTGCCTTCTACTGAATTTCTGGGGTTCAAAATTGATGCTGCTGGGATTCACCCTGCTGAATCCAAACTGACTGCTATTTTAGAAGCACCTAGGCCAAAGTCCAAGGCCGAACTTCAGGCCTTCCTGGGCCTCCTGAATTTCTACAATTCTTTTCTTCCACAAAAAGCTAGTGTAGCTGAGCCTCTTCACAGGCTACTAGACAAGCAAGCAGTGTGGCAGTGGTCACAAACACATGAGGGTTGTTTTAACAAAGTCAAGGCTTTGCTCACTTCTAACAGTGTACTTGCACATTTCAACGAGTCCCTTCCTGTGT